TAAAAAGTATAGGCAAGTATTCTTTGTGCTGCTTTTACTCTTCCAGCTTTTCTGTAAATACAAAATTATTTCCAAAGAAAGTGTTTAAAATGTATTTGTTTGTAAAAGTAACACATGCCCATGATCAGTATTTAAAAGGATCCAGAACAAAGAACTCCTGCAACTATAATAAAAAGACAAATGACTCAGTTTAAAGATGCGTAAAAGACTTGGACACTTCAAAAAGGAAGATAAGAGAATGGCCAGTAAGCATATAAAAAAGTATTCAATATCTTTAGTCATCAGAAAAATGAAAAGTAAAACTCCTGTGAGGTACCTAACTGCATCTGCTAGCATGACTTAAAGTAAGATTGACAACACCATATGATGAGGATTTGAAGCATCTGGAACTCCATACAGTGCTGCTGGGAGTGGAAATGTTTGGAAATGTCTGGAAGTTGTTTTCTTGTTTGTTTTAACTAAGCATTCATTCATCCCAAACCCAGCAATTCTGTTCCTAAATATTTACACATGAGAGATGAAAACCAGAAAAAGGTGTCTGCAAGAATGTTCATAGTAGCTTTGTATTCATAATAGCCCAAATCTGGAAATAATACAGGTGTCCTCCAATAGGAGACTAGGTAAGCACATGGTTATCTATATGAATACTATGCTGTAGTAATGTATAATGGACTACTGATGACTGCAGCAACAGGGATGAATTTCATCAACATTAGACTGACCCAAGAGTAGAGACTGTATGATTCCATTTCCATGAAGGCCATGAATAGGCAAAAGTGATTTTTCGTGATAGAGATAAGAACAATCGTCTCAGTGGGGTGGGAGGGCATTGTAGAGTCAGGGTTGACTAGGAATGGGCACAGAGGGCCTTTTAGGGATGTTGGACATTTTCTGTATCTTGGTAAGCATTTGTCAAACTCATCAGAGTTTTACTCTATGTAAGTTATACTTCATTTTAAAAGTAAGCAAAAGGACACAAGGGTTATACATTGATCCAAGGGCATTCCCCTGTATAAGGGCAATGTATATCACACTCAGGAAATTCAACATTATTGCAACCCTTCTATATCTACTATGCAGTCACATTTAAATACCCCAGTATTGTCTTTCATTAACATTTTAAATCCGGTTTCAGCAAAGGATCACTCATTACCTGTTAATTTTTTTTAAAGTTTTTTTTTGTAGTTTTACTGTTTTATTAGCACAAATACGACGTGCACAACAAGCTGTCTATTCATTTTCTTCACTGCGCAGCCTGGCGTTGCGGTTGGTGACTCTGATTGCCAGCTGGGGTGCTCTTTCCACAATAGCTTTGCGGTTCTTGGAGGAGACATTGTGAGTAGTCTCTGCACAGTAAGATTTGTTGCACATCAGCAGCACTTCAAGCTCCTTGACGTTGTGGACTAGGAACTTCCAGAAGCCAACGGGCAACACGTGCTTTGTTTTCTTGTTGCTCCGTAACCAACGTTGGGCATCGAGATCTGGCCCTTGAATCTTCTGCGCACCCTATTGTCAGTGCCTCTGGGTTTCCGCCAGTTGTGCTTAATATTGACATAGCAGTCTGACTGGTGCCGGATGAACTTCTTGGTCCTCTTTTTAACGATCTTGGGCTTCACCAGAGGTCTGAGGGCAGCCATGATGCCCAGTAACCGATGGCTGCCACCTCCGCCGGCAGCGCCGAGGAAGAGAGCTGAAAAAACGTTTCTTGATAGAAAATATCCTTGCAAAAAAATTAAAGTCTTGAGTCTGAGAGCATATTATCTGATGCCTATAATTCTCAGTAGCCCGTTTCATTGTTTTTTCAGATGGCTACAGTTAATGTTTGGAAATTTATGATATCAGATGTCTGAAGTTTACATGGAGAGATTAATGATCTTTAAAAAGGCAGAATTAGAATTGCAAATCTTGCTTTCATTTTCTTAAATGTTTTGTTTGATACATGGCTTTGGAAATTTGGGGTAGTAGTTTGAATTGCAAACAAGTGGGCAGTATTTCTGTTTAATAATGAGATTTGTAATCAACACTAGGTTCCCCTAGACTCTGGGACCTAGAGGAAGGAAATTCGCTTTTAGTGACTTAGCTGTCAAAGTAGGATTTAGCATTATAATTTTTTAAATGTCATATTTTTGATCACAAAAAACAATACATGCTAATTGTAGAAAATACCACAAATCAAAAAGAAAGTCCTCACAACTCTGCCACCTAGAGGTGCGATGGCTAACACACGCGAGGAGTGTCTCTTGTCTTTTGTCTGCGCACACATGCTCACATGCTATTTCTTTTTAAATAGATGATGTAATCATAACGTGTAAATTTAACTGCTTAATTCACTTGGTGCGTCATCAGCATTTCTCATTAAATATTTTACAGTTTTACTTCAAATAACTGTCCACAGTAGTGTTCCTTGCTGGAAATTCTGGAATTGTTTTTTGTTTTAAAACTTTTTTCTTGTAAAAATGTAAAAGACGTGCAACATAAATGTTCAGCTTAATAAATGTCATAAAGTAAACACCCTCGTACCTGCCACTTAGATCAAGTCTTGGAGTGTGGCTGGCAGCCAGCAGCCCCCAGTACACTTTCCCACTCACAGCTCCCTTCCCCTTAAAGGTAGCTACTATTCTGTTTCAAAGTTCTTTTCTTGCATATCTTTATTGAGTCCCAGCTGTGTTTGCATCCCCCAACAGTGTAGTGTAGTTTTGCCTGTTTTTGAACTTCTTACAGAGGGAGTCATTATAGTATGCATTCTTTTGTGTCTGACTTCTTTCATTCAACATTTTGTTTTTCAGATTCACCTATATTGTGTAGTTCATTCTTTATTGTATGCTTCCATATTTTGATTCTACTGATGGTGGGCACTTCGGCTGTGTACAGTGCAGGTTTTACAGATGTCGCTGCCGTGAACACTGGGTGTGCTTCATGGTGTGTGTGTGTGTGTGTGTGTGTGTGTGTGTGTGTGTGTGTGCACGCGCACATGTATTTCTCTAGGGAATCCAAATGTAGGACTGACATTGCTGGGTTGTAGGATAATGTGGCAAATAATGCCAAACTGTTCTCAGATGGTTGGATCCATTTTCAGTGTACCTGTTTCTCATCCTCAGCACTACTTGGTATTGTTAAACTTTAATTTTAGCCATTCTTATGGATGTGGTGATTTCTCCTTGTGGCTTAATTTGCATTATAATGTGTTTTCCTTATTGTTAGTGAAGTTAGACAGGTTTATGTGTGAGTATCGGCCATTTCGATATCCTGTTTGGTGCAGTGCTTAATTCATAGTCTTTTGCCTATTCTCTTCCTGGGTTTCCTTTTTCTTACTGATTTATGTAATTTAGATACAAGATCTTTATCGGTTATATGAGTTGCCGATCCCTTCTCCAACTTTCAGTAGCTTGTCCTTTTAATTCCGTTAATGGTGTCTTGTGCAGAACAGAGGATCTTAATTTTAATGTAGTTCCATTGATTGACTTTCTCCTTTTAGGGATTAATGCTTTTCATGTCCTGTGTAAGTCTTAGAAATGGAAGTGTTGGCCTAAGAGCTTTTTAGATTTTCACTTACAGTGTACTCTGCCACTCTGCATGAACCTTTTGAGACCATTTTCACTCTCACCGACAGTGTGGGCGTGATGCCCCCACCCTCGCCAGAACTGGAGTTCTTTGTCTATTCATTAATGAGTATTGTATTTTAGTTTGCTCCTGAAACTCGAAGAACTAGTTTGTTGCATCATTCTGTGCACATGGCAGCCACTAAGCATAATTCCAAGGTTAATACTAAAAATATTCTTTAGCTTTTGATTCTGAGGAACAGTTACAGTGGTAGGAGAAGAGGTAAAGATCTAAAAAGCCATTTTCTTTTTATTAATTTAAATCAGCATGATTTGGGCTTAAATTAATGACAGTAAATTGATGAAGATTTAATATAGTGGATCATGGGACCCATGAAATTGATGAGTTAGAATTTTGTAGATTTCCTTTATAAGTTCCTGGTGTGTTTGTAAGAGGTAGAATCATGACTTTAACAACTCTTCTTTACACACTTTATTAAAGAAGACATCCTTACCCTGACTTACCTCTTGCTTCTCCTTTCCCACCCCCCAGTATTCATTCAGAGTCCTTTCTGATTGTGAGGTGGGAGGTGGCCCCTTGGTTTTGCCTGGGAATGAGTGGAGTTGAACTCAGACTGCCACAGAGCCCATTGAAAGGAGCCTCCATTAGGAGATGAAATCTGGAGTGGCGCTCTCCTCCGCTCTCCTCCACTCTCCTGCGCTCTTGCCTGCTTTCCTCCATTTTCCAGTTTAGGTTGCCGGCACTTTCCCGGGCCTCGCAGACAGAATCTTAGTCCCTCAGCACAGTGTCTCACCATCGGCCCGGCTGTTTACTCTTGACCCTCATGCACCTAGTCCCCCTGCTTAATCTGCAGTTGCCTTGCATTTGGAATGTTCTTTCACATTTGCTCATCCCATTATCTAGAACTCCCTCCTGTCTGCTACTGCCAAGCCATCCACCTGCTAGCTAACTTCTTTTAAAACTCAGCTTAAGCAGCACATCTCCTTGCAGGCCTTAGCTCCATGCCCTCGTTCCTCCAGCTCACTGAGTTAGTTGCCCCCTCTTCCGGACTGCCACAGCTCTCTCTGTGCCTCTGTTGCTGTGCTTTGTATTGTAAGAAATTTGATTTCCTTTCTTACTCAGTTGAGCTCCTTGGGGGCAGGGCCCCAATTCCCTCTTATTCTGCCCCTCCTGCCCCTCCCCCCCGGAACTAGCATGGTGTAGCTTATAGGAGGTGCCCCATAAATATTTACTGAGTGGACTGAATGCGAAATTATATCTAACTTTTGTGATGTACATATGAAAAGAACTTGCGGAGAAAGAGGTCAGTTAGAAAGGGTTAGGAACTTACCAGTATTCTAAATCTCTCTTCTCCTAAAGCAGTGCATGTTTAGGAGTGACTGCTGTGTCTGTAGGATCTGTCGGGTTTTGCTCACCTGAGTTGTGCCTTGCTGTCACAGAAGGACGCCCTGCAGTGGTCCCGCAGTCCGGCTGCAGTGGAGGGAGAAGAGCCGGAGGACACAGCCGACGTGGAGAGCTGTGGGTCTAACGAAGCCAGCACTGTGAGCGGTGAAAACGACGGTAAGTACTCATCACAGGATGGGCCGAGAGCCACAGGCAGCTGCTGGAGACTAACCTTTGTTTCCCTCTCTGCCAGTTTCTCTTGATGAAACGTCATCGAATGCATCTTGTTCTGCAGAATCTCAAAGTCGGCCTCTTTCCAATCCCAGGGACAGCTACAGGGCTTCCTCACAGGTAGGGAGGAGAGTCGGTGGCTAGGCTGGGGGTAGGTAAGCCCACGTATGAGACTCTGCCCCTGCAGCTAACATGTCGGTAGAGTGGAGCAAATCAGTGTGGTCTCCACCTGTTAGTACAGTTACAAGTGGGCAGTGGATCTGAGAGCAGAGTGGTTGGTTTTTCTTCATTACCACAGATGGATAGTTTCACTCCTACTTTCGACAAACAGGGAACTTGGATAGCACAGTGCAGAGTGGGGGGCACGCGAGCTTGGGAGTCAGCACTTGGAACAGTGGCCCTGCAGCTTGCTAGCTTTGGGACTTTGGGCAAATTCCTTATCTATAAAACAGGGTGACCATACATTCCATTCTGCTTGGGGTGGTGTTTGGCACAGGGGCCAGCACCTGGCTTAGTAACATGAGTTCGTGCTGCTCCCACCGTTACCCACCTGAGCTGGTTGAATATGAACTCCGTTGTAGCAAACGGTGGAGACAGGGTGGAGAGGGACCACTCTTGTGGCCCTGCGGGTGATTCAGGTTCCTTTTGTAATCCCTTGGGCATCTAGGCAAACAAGCAAAAGAAAAAGACTGGGGTGATGCTGCCACGAGTTGTCCTGACTCCTCTGAAGGTAAACGGGGCCCACGTGGAATCGGCGTCAGGTACGTGCAAACTTGTGATGTGATGCTCCTTCCTCAGGTCTTGGGGCCTGCCCCGTTCTGGCAGCAGTGTCTGACCTAGGTGGCGCGGTGCCTGTGGAGCCAGGAGGGCCTCCTGGTGGGCAGCACGCCGTGGTGGTGAGGCCTGAGCTAGGTTCCAGTGCTGGGCTCTGCCGTGCACACCACCCTTGGCCTCGCAGGGCAGCGTGAGGGTCCGATGAAGGAGTGTGCAGGTGCTCAGTAAAGGTGCAGTGCTGTGCAAACTAAGATGGCGGTTTGGCGTTCTTACGGGATAATGTCAAGCCAGACCGTGAGGTGGTGATGTCTGACAGCCCAGGGTTGGGCCACGGAAGCACCCGCTATTGCGGGCAGTGTCTCAGGGAGAGCTGGGAGAAGTGAGCTTGTCTGAGAGCCCTGGGCGCGGCGGGTGATGCTTTTGACCAGTGGAATGCTGTGCCTTCAGGGTTCTCGGGCCGCCACGCCGATGGCGAGAGCGGCAGCCCGTCCAGCAGCAGCAGCGGCTCTCTGGCCCTGGGCAGCGCTGCCACTCGTGGCCAGGCCGAGGTCGCCCGGGACCCTGCCCCGCTCCTGAGAGGCTTCCGGAAGCCGGCCACAGGTGAGTGGCTCGGCACTCATTTCTCTGCCTGTAAGGGGGGCCCCTGCAGGCCTTAGTGCTAAGAAGAGGAAAATCTTCTGTCCCGCTTCCTTTACCAGTTTATTTTGACTTCTTGGGTGGCCCTCTGTTTTTTTGTTTGTTTCTTACCTTGTAATTTGGTTATTTCACATGTAGATCTTCTCTGCTAGACTGTGAGGGAACTTGTGGGCAGAGATGGTGCCACATTGTTCCTTGTATGTCCCCGTAAGGGCATGGCCTGTGCCTCCCTTGGTACTGCTTAGTGTTTGGGTGAGTGAAAATTGCTTCTGAGATTATCAGTGAAGAATTCCAGCATCCATTTTCTTTCTTCAGTAGCATCCTGTCACTTTTGTTCTTAACATCCAAAGTTCCGGTCAGGCACCCTTTTTTCTAGCCTAGTCATAACGTTGAGTGGAAGGAAGCCTGTGTTGAATTTGAGGTTGCAAGCAAATTCAGTAGCATGCTCCTCCCACCCCTCAGTAGGGCGATTTGCAAGGCCAGTATGCTGTTTGCTAGTTCAGGATTTATTTCTTAAAGCCCACATGCTGGTTATTTGTAGCTAGGCCACATGAAACCATTAAGAAGACTAGCCTTGGCTTCTGAAAATTAGAATAAACCATTGCCCAAATGGGAATTGGGTTTGCTGTCTTGCTGCTTTTCCAACTCATCAGCAGTGCTTAACCTTAAGGTCTCATAGGTCTCTATTCTTAGTGATTTTTTTCAAATAAAAGTAACTTTTGTGGAGGTTTTTGTGAGAGAGAGAGATTGACATCTCAGTGGCTTTAAACAGCCTAGTACCTTTCTGTGTGGAGATCATAGCTCTCCATCCCGTTCAGGGAACGCTCCTGCAGAGTTTTCTGTAGTATACTAACTAGATGCGCTTTTAGACAGCTTCCATCGTTTCTCCAGCTGGCTTTGTGGAGCCTGTTCTCCAACTTTGGAGGGAAGCTCACAACCTGCCCCCTCCCTGCTTTTCTTTGGGAAGAGTGTCCTCTTCAGCCTGTGTCACAGCATGGTACAGAGTCTTCTCTGAGAGGATGTAGGCCCAAGTGTTCTCTTGGGTTTGATGGCAATGACAGTAACCTGGACAGAATAATTGTGACGTGTAGGTTAGGGTGGATTGGATGTGTGGATGTGGACCAGATAAGTTCTGGGTAGTTCGGGTGCTGCCACTAAAATTTATCCCTCAGTTGGCATTTGCTGTTTTTCTTTGAAAAGCTGAAAATCTATACCTTGCTTCTTGCTGCTTCAAAATCACAGGTCAGATGAAGCGCAACAGAGGGGAAGAGATAGATTTTGAGACGCCTGGGTCCATTCTTGTCAACACCAACCTCCGGGCCCTGATAAACTCTCGGACCTTCCATGCCCTGCCAGCCCACTTCCAGCAGCAGCTCCTCTTCCTCCTGCCTGAAGTGGACAGACAGGTGCAGATGGGTAGCCACCTCTTTGACTCTCTCTGGGTGGGCTTCGGTTCCCTTTCTGAGTTTCTTTATTGTGCTTTCCACCCTGATCCTTCTAGGTGGGGACAGATGGCCTCTTGCGTCTCAGCAGCAGTGCACTGAATAACGAGTTTTTCACTCACGCGGCCCAGAGCTGGCGGGAACGCCTGGCTGATGGTGAGTGGATGTTCTCAGACTGCTTGAGTGGTACCTGCCATGTGTGGTGTCACCTGTCCTTGGTGTTTAAAATCCAGACATTCATTTTGTGCCTCTTTCCTCCCCCCCTTCCCCCGCCCAAGGGATATTTAGTATAAGGCAGGCTTTCCTCACAATACCGATGAATGTGGTGGGTGTTAATGTGCTCTGTAGCTTTAAAGAAGGTACAGAGTGTTTGGGCTTTTGCTGTTTGAGTGTATGTCTCCACCTGCATCACCTCATCATCATTAGAGGTCTAAACTCCTGGTCTTTCCAGGAATGCTGGTGTTGTCTAGATGGGTGGAGGAGAGTGTGCCGTGGCATTGACTTACACGTTGAGTTCTACTGGGTGCTCTGTCTTTTTAGACGTTGCCAGTTGGGGTGGAGTGATTGTCAGCTTCTCTTAATATAACTTTATGGGGAAGCTACGTGGGGAGTGTGCTGGGAGGTCCTTAAGACTCCCTCTAGGTTTGATGATTCACTAGGAGGCCTCACAGGACTCCTCCTGCAGTTGTACTCATGGCTGTGATTGATCACAGTGAAGGAATACAGAGCAAAGTCAGCAAAGGGAAAAGACGCTTGGGGTGAGGTCCAGGGAAACCAGGCGCAAGCTTCCAGTGTCCTCTCCCAGAGGAGTCACACAGGATGTGCACAGTTCTCCCAGCAGTGAGTTGTGACAGCACGTGTGAAATGTAATCTGCTGGGGAAGCTTGTTAGAGACTCGGTACCCAGGTTTTTTTTTTTTACTCAGAACTGATCGTGTGGGAAGCCTCTGCCTGGCACATAACCAGATTCCAGATTCCCCGAAGGAAAGCAGGTGCTCGCCATAAACCATCTTGTTTGCATAAACAGTTTAGGCACAGTGAGCCATTCATGTCATTTATGGGGGTGGGAACCCTCCTGAAATCCAAGCTCCCAGATGTCAGCCAAAGGCCAGCCTTGTAAGCAGGCCTTTCCAAGAATAAGCCATCAGGCCTGGTCTGTTAACCTTTTTCTGCCCAGGGAGTAAGAATGGTTCTCTTGTTTATTTGTTTCTGTTTTGCTTTTTTGATCAGTTGTGTTGCTTGTTGTTGAAGACTGATTATCCGAGGGAAAAGTAAATTTCCCTCATCATGGACGTGTTCTTTCATGACCATGAGCATGATGTGGCTCTGGAGGAGACAGGAATGAGTGTGAAGGAGATAGGGTTAAAAGAAAAAAGAGCTCCACACCCACCAACGTCATGTGTATTTTGAGAAGTCCTGATGTGGTGGAATTGCAAGATTTGGCTTTCCATAAGACAGACCTTAGTATCCTGAATGCACACACTCCAAAAGCTTTTATTTCTCTTTAGGTGAATTCACTCATGAGATGCAAGTCAGGATCCGACAGGAAATGGAGAAGGAAAAGAAGGTAGAACAGTGGAAAGAAAAGTTCTTTGAAGACTACTATGGACAGAAGTAAGGCCCTCGGTGCTGCGGGTCCTGGTCTGGGCTTTGGGGGGCAGAGAGACAGATGCTGTCCGAGTCGTGCATGCCAGCACGTGGGGTGAGAACAGGTTGGCTGTGGTGGCTTGCCCGGCTTGTTAAGCTTAATGCTGTTGCATAGGAAAGCTAACATACATTTTTCTATGGTTAGTGCTATGTAGCACACAGATTTATTTTGTTCTGAGATACCTAACAGCTACAATAAAATAGGCATGCCCTCTTTGCCCTGTAACTGATGCTGTGAGTTTGGTTTGCAGATTGGGTTTGACCAAAGAAGAGTCATTGCATCAGAAGGTGGGCCATGAGGAGGCTGACATCAAGAATGACTTGCATGTCCCAGGAGAATCAGCACGGCCACAGCGTGGTCCAGCCACCCGGCAGCGAGATGGGCATTTTAAGAAACGCTCTCGGCCAGATCTCCGAACCAGAGCCAGAAGGAATCTCTACAAAAAGGAGCCAGAACAAGCAGGGGTCACTAAAGACACACAGTCTGTGGCACCAGACATCCCCCTCTACAAGGATGGGGAGGCTGAGAGCGACTCAGCAGAGGCAGGCAGCCCTCATCTGCCTGACACGGCCTCTGTAGCACCCGAACCAGAGAGTACTGAATTCCTGACCCAGCCTGTGGCTTCCCGGACGCAGACCGATCCAGGCGACCTGGCACGTGCCTCCGTGTCTCCAGACAGGATTCCCAGCTTGCCTCAGGAGACTGCGGATCAGGAACCCAAGGATCAGAAGAGGAAATCCTTTGAGCAGGCGGCCTCCGCATCCTTTCCCGAAAAGAAGCCCCGGCTTGAAGATCGTCAGTCCTTTCGTAACACAATTGAAAGTGTTCACGCCGAAAAGCCACAGCCCACCAAAGAGGAGCCCAAAGTCCCGCCCATCCGGGTAGGAGGCAGTTTGATTCCTGGCTGTCCTGGGGCCAGGTTCCCTTCAAGGGTCAGGAGATGTGCAGAGCCCCTTTGCAGAGACAGAAGGCTCTGGGCGCTTGTGTTAATTACGTGAGAGTGTAGAGCCCTGTACAAGAGAGCCATTCATGAGACTGACTTGATGGTCAGGAGGATAAGGTTCTTTTCTTCCTCGCTGCTTTGTTCACTCTGTTGAAGTTCTCTCTGGAGGTCAGAATCCTTTGGGGCTTTTAAATCTTTTATTAGGTGGTGTTAGATTCTTTGTGCAGTAACTCACACAGTCCCACCAGAAATTAAATTTAGAAGCATGGCATATGACAGCCCTAGAGCAGAGTCGTCTAAGAATGGTGTGGTGTCACGGACAGCCATTTTACTGCCATTATTTCATTTTTAAAGGAAATTATTTGATTCTTGAGGCCGTGTCCCCTAAGCTACTAAAATCTTGGTTTAGCTGTCCAGTTCCTAGGTCAGATCACCCAGTCAATTAAAACTATTTTCCAATTCTTCTCTTGCAGATTCAACTTTCACGTATCAAACCACCCTGGGTGGTTAAAGGTCAGCCCACTTACCAGATATGTCCCCGCATCGTCCCCATCACGGAGTCCTCCTGCCGGGGCTGGACTGGGGCCAGGACCCTCGCAGACATTAAAGCCCGTGCTCTGCAAGTCCGAGGGGCGAGAGGCCACCACTGTCATCGAGAGGCGGCCACCACTGCCATCGGAGGGGGGGGTGGCCCGGGTGGAGGTGGCGACGGGGCCACCGATGAGGGAGGTGGCAGAGGCGGCGGCAGTGGTGATGGTGGTGAGGCCTGTGGCCACCCTGAGCCCAGCGGAGCCCCGGGCACCCCTGGAGAGTGTGCGTCAGATCTACAGCGAACACAACTACTGCCGCCTTGTCCTCTGAATGGGGAGCATATCCAGGCTGGGACTGCCCTGTCCAGAGCCAGGAGAGAGGACCTGATTGCTCTCAGAAAGGAGAGCTGCGCACGGCAGAGGGTTCCAGATGTCCTCACAAGTGGGCTGGAAGATGCCTCCCAACTCCCCGTTGCTCCCCCTGGGGACCAGCCGTGTCAGGCTTTGTCCCCACTGTCCTCCCAAACCCCAGCCCCGGAGAGATCAGTTGAGCAGTGTACGTTGCATCTAGATGTTAGAACTGAACACGAGTCTGGTACCGCTTCCTTGGGAAGCGATGATGAGGATCGAGGATCCTCTCTTCCCCCAGAGGGTTGTCCTGTGCAGTCTCTAGTGGGGGATGTTGTATTGGAAGGAGGACCTGGCCAAGCTCGAGACCAAGACAGTATCCCCACCATGAAGGATCCTGTGAATGTGACTCCTAGTTCCCCCACTGAACCACCATTGGCTGGTTGCCTGCAGGATAGACTGTGTGATGAGGAATTAGGACTTGGTGACTCATGCCCATCCATAAGGGAAAGTGCTACTAGACAAGAAGACTTGACAACTGAGGCCCTGGTCTCTGATGGTGCTGCTCCTTGGGTGCCTGGCTTGTCAAAGGATGAGGCAGTGGGACAGCCTGGACCAGACTCTAGGGAACATGTCCCATCTGTTGAGCCCCAGGCTGTGGAAGAGTGGGAGAAGGCTGCTCCCCTCATTCCTGCGTTACCTGGAGAGTTGACAGCTGGGGAGGGGCTAGGCCTCCCTAACCACTTCCCTTTGCTCTGGACAGTGCCACCTCGAGGGAGCACTGATGACAGCACTGGTAGCGACTGCAAACAGGTGGAAGGTGGAAAGTTGAAAATCAATGGAGACTCTGAAGCCCTGAGTCCTCATGGCGAGTCCACAGACACGGCTTCTGACTATGAAGGCCACCTGTCTGAGGACAACAGCGAGGCTGACCCCAATGAGGCCACCGTGGTGAAGAGAGCCTTGGTGGTGGACACAGATGAGAAACACAGTTGGAACCACTCTGCCTCACTCTCCAAAGTGAATGGTGACCAGAGTCTGGTTACAAGGACAGACAGCATGGCTGCTCCTCAGAGCTGGGTGTCTCGTGTATGTGCAGTCCCCCAAAAGATTCCAGATTCCCTGCTGCTGGCCAGCACCGAGTACCAGCCGAGGTTCATGTCTCTGGGTAGGCCTGGGTCCTCAGTGGAGGCCACTAACCCACTTGTGATGCGGTTGCTGCAGGGTAACTTGCCCCTAGAGAAGGTTCTTCCTCCAGCCCAAGTCACTGGCAAACCTGAATCCCCATGTCTCCTCCTTATGAAAGAGCAGAGCCTTGGCGGCTCCCTGGGAGTGGGATCTTTGCAGGATTTGGCAGAAAACAGTTGCGCAGTTGGCAAGAGCAGCTCCCGTTCTTTAAGAGCTTCAAAGGAGCCTCTTCTACCTGAAAGCCTTGAAGCAAGCACTGGTCTTGCCAGGCTGGAGCCCACCCAGGCTCCTGGAGCACCCCAGAAGATTTCCAAGACAGTCACAAGTCTAGACTCCCTCTATCCAGGGACAGAGCTGACGGCTGCCTCTGGGAAAGTAGAAGAAGTGGATTCCAAAGAGCGGTTCTCTCCTGCTAGTTCGGAAGATCAGAAGGAAGCCTGTGACATGTCCCAGTGCAGTAATTCAAATGCTGCCCCAGGCAGAAGTCCTGGAAATCTCACTACCTCGAGAGCCCCTTGTTTCTCATCTTCAAACGCAATCTCCTTGGCTCCCGATCAGATAGGTCGGGCCCTGGGTAATCAGAACAGTGCTGGAGGCCAAGGGAAGAAGCTCTTTGGCCCCAGGAATGAGGCTGCAGCCCTTCCGCAACCCAGACCCGTAGAGCCAATGCCACTGCCCGCTGATGCCCCTCCTGGTTTTCCCAGTCGGAAGTTGGGGCCAAGCAAAAACTCTGTGTCCGGTGGGGTACAGACCGCCAGGGAAGACTGGGCTCCAAAGCCACCGCCTGCCTCTGTTGGCAGCATCAAGAGCGAGAAGACTTTTGGGGGGGGTCCTCTCAAGGCAAATGCCGAGAACAGAAACGCCACTGGGCCTGGTCCTCGGGAACTAGTGGATCACTTGCAGGGGATGCCCTTTGTCCTTGACCTGCCCTTCTGGAAATTACCCCGAGAGCCTGGGAAGGGGCCTGGTCAGCCTCTGGAGCCTTCCTCCATCCCCTCCCAACTCAATATCAAACAGGCATTTTATGGGAAGCTTTCCAAACTCCAGCTAAGTTCCACCAGCTTTAATTATTCCTCTAGCTCCCCCACCTTTCCCAAAGGCCTTGCTGGGAGTGTGGTGCAGCTGAGCCACAAAGCAAACTTTGGTGCGAGCCACAGCGCATCCCTTTCCTTGCAGATGTTCACTGACAGCAGCACGGTGGAAAGCATCTCGCTCCAGTGTGCGTGCAGCCTGAAAGCCATGATCATGTGTCAGGGCTGTGGTGCGTTCTGTCACGATGACTGTATTGGACCCTCAAAGCTCTGTGTATTGTGCCTTGTGGTGAGATAATAAATTATGGCCATGGGAAAAGTTGTATATTTAGTGTGCGTATTTTGATAATGATTGATCTTACATCTATATACAGGATATCATTGATATAAGAGACTCTGTTTCTCCAGGCAAGAGCACTCTTGCCCCCTCCCTCAAATTTGTAGTGCTGAAGCCCCTCTGTCACTTACCACCTCTTCTGGGCCTGCTGGCGGGGTTTCCTGCCAGGCACCTCCCTGGGCTGCCCAAGGCCGGCTGGCCAGCTTGAGCTCTCATGCAGACAGAGCCTGGTGTGGCGTGGGGAGCCTGCCTTGACACCCAGAGGGACTTGAAACTGAAGAAAGAAGGTTGTGTTCTCCATCAAGGGAACTAACCTACCTGAACTGAGTAGGCATGTCAGTCTTCCACCGCCCGCTCCCTGCCTTCTTCCCTTTCTGCTACTCCCTCGGGGGGAGCCGATGGCTGGGGAAGCCAGGACAGGGTTAAAATCACTCCCAGCAGTGCCCACCAGGGGGCCCAAGCACCTGCTGACCTCAGGGTCACAGTCACTTCTCAGTTGACAGGAGCCAGTTTGACCTTTGGTTCTGTTGCTGAAGCAAATTTGGGACTTTTCTGTCTCGGTACAGTTCACTGGCCCACAGGAGCTTTTGGAACCTTGAATAGACTTGCTCGGACAATGGGGTCGGGCATAGGGTTGTCTTTCCTCTTAAAATGCCATCTGTAGACTTTGTGAGTCAGATGTCCAGATGTTTGGCAGGTGAATTCCTCTGCTTGACACCCTCCCTGTCACTTTGGACTCGATGGGAGTGGGCATCTCCACGCACCTGTGTATGTGAAAGTCATTTTACATTTCAAAGCAGTGTGTGTTTCTTATTTTTATATTTTTAACTCTTTATCCTTGGATGTATAAAGTGAACTTTTTGGCTTCTGTAAGTATGCTCTATGCACCTCTAATGTTTTATCATGTATTTATATGTTGTACACAGTACTGGCTGATTCTGTAAATGGATGTATTGTACAGAGAACACGAGTGTCTCTCCCTTATTATCCGTCTCCCGCGTCATCGCATTAAAGTGGTGTGCTTCTCTCCGCCCGTGTCCGAGCTGCCGCGTGGCCCGGTGCCCTGTCATGGTTGCCCAGTGGACCCGCCGTGGCCTGCAGGGCCACAGCCAGCCCGTCCGTGCTCTGCCGAGCGGACGTGTCTCGCCCCTCACATCTCTGCTCTTCCCACCTTCCGCTCGCCGCTCGCTGCCATACGTGACGAATCACCGCCACCAGTGTGCAGTGCTCTGGAGTCAAGGGTGAGTGCCCTGGGCAGCCCCACGCAGGCTTTCCAGATCTGGCTCCAGGGTTCCCGCCTTCAGCAGTATGTGGGACCCTCTGATGTCCTTTTGACAGCAGGTTGGGGAAGAAACGGCCACGCCCGCTGCCTGCCTCTCCCCACCCTCCCCAACCCACGTCCAGCACATAGACGTCTCCGTAGTTGTCGTCCCCTGCCTTACTTCTTACACGTCGACTCGTTAAAGAGTCGAGAGCCCTCCTTTCTGACTTTGGTCTCCCTGTGTGAGTGCTTCTGGGTGAAGTAGAAAATTGGTGTGACCTCAGCAAGTCTCGTTTCACCTGAAAGACCTCTCCCCTGACCCCCATTTCATCCACTGTGGCATTTTTGTCGTCGGAAGCATGGGTGAGAAGATGGCAGTCACATGGTGGTGTTAATGTGGTATTGGCCAAGTCCGAGTTGTCAACTTTCAGAGTCTGTTTACCAAAGACAGGGAGCAGATCCTCTTCTTCCTTCTGCTGTGACCTTTGGCAGCCTCTAGGCTACAGGTGGAAACTGGTCTGGTCTGTGGGGCTGCCCAGGGAAAGCACTGCTCTTGTATGTCTCTTGTGGTTTTGGAAAAATAAACCTGTACAGCCTGCGCTTGTGGTCTCAGTCGTCTTGTGTGGCCGCCCCGCTGGGCTGGGAAGGAAGGCCAGGAACACAGAAGCCAGCTCGCTTCACCCTGCTTCCAGGGTCCGTGTTCTCGGCCTGGAAGCCGAGAACTTCTTCTTCTGTGAGGTTAGTGCTGAGGGCCCACTTGCCAGTTTCGGTGGTCTGTAGACTCCGGGCATGGTGGCATGCACTGGGAGCGGAGGTCTCACGAGCAGGGTGACGGTGCTCGTCCCAGCTGCCCTGTGGAGACATGCTGCCCCAGAGATTGCTGACGGCTGGTGATCGGCTGGCGATCTGCGGGGGTGGTGGCCAGCAGGCAGCCGGGAGGGGCATGATGCCACGGAAGAGAAGGTTGGATACTCGCGGAGCGGGCCTGAGGGCGGCAGGCTGCAGTTCCCAGACCTACCTGGAGTACTCGCGCGCCGAGTCTGGGCTTAGCCGAAACTACCTCAGCATAGAAATGAGCCAAAAGCAAACAAAAACCACGCTGGAAGTACAGGTGAGTGAAAATACGTACCTGTTAGCTTGTGTCCCGTGAAGTGGTGAAAGGCTCTCTGGTGCACGAGCTTCTGGGGAGCGGTTCGCTGCCGCTGGGCCCGGAAGTGCGGCTGGCAAAGCCGGGGTAGGTGGCTCTGCGGTGACCGGGCAGCCTCCTAGTGGTGACGCTGTGTGTACTTGTGCCGTTGCTGGTCCGTGGGAGCTTAGCAGACATTAGGATGCAGGGTGCAGAGTATGGCGGCGTTCGCGTGCAGGCCCTGCTTCCCACCGGCTCTGGGGCCCGGGCGAGGCAGCCTCTCTGCCCGCGCACCCGTCTCTGAATGGGGACGGTAATACCTACTTCGTAGGGTCCTTCACGCCTGGCACACAGGAGGTACTCCTGACTGTTAACTTGCACCTGGCCAGGATAGTAGCTGCCTGGACTTGGAGCAGACGTCTGTGTGGCTCCTGCCACCTGCCTGCTCCTAGGCCCCAGGGACGGCTGGTGGGGGGGTGGGCCTCCCACGGGGAGGGGTGGTGTGGCCTCTCCTGGGCCATCTGGCTCTTGGCCTCCTGCTGTGGTTGTTGAGTACGCGGTCCTAAGTTGAGAGACTGAGTTCCTGGCAGGGGAGACCGTTGTACTCATTTACCGCTAAAGGATGAGGAAACCCTAATAATGTTTCAGAATATGGAAAAGATACTATTTTACTGGCCGAGTGAGCATCGTGACTGTTTTATGTCCATCCTGCTCTTAAGTCAGATCCTGCTTGAGAGGGGTGTGTGGGTATGTGTGTGTGTGTGCTGAATAGAGTAGCCCGCTGATGATTAGGGGCCTCGGGGGACCAGAGCATCTGCCTGCTTGCCTCCCGAGAGGAGGTGGCATGGCTGGGTTGTGCTTGCGTGGGGGCATCGTCTAAACTGATGGGGAAAGTGGGCTTTGTGACCTTGGAGACTAGGACTTGAAACCAAATGTTGACAGTGCCCCACGCTTCCTCTTGTCTCCGTGCATCAATTTGAAAGCCTGGACTAACTGCCTGCCAAAAGATGTAGACAAAAGCCCTATAAGGAACATAAGTGTGACAAAGAGACAGCTGTCTGTGCAGTGGCTCTTAACCTTTCTTGGATCACAGACGCTTGGAGAACCTGACCGAAGCCCCGGACCCTCTCCCCCAGGAATGCACATCCACATGAGGTTGTGCAGACTATTTCAGAAGGCTCATCTGCTCCTTTAGGCAGCTGGGACCCCTCATTTAAGAGCCCCCTGACTGGCAATAAACTGGTAATAAAATCTGGATTTATACAAAAGATCAAGGAGGGGAGCGAGGACTTTGCAAAGGATTCTTAGGTTTCTGGTAAACTGGGTTTCCCTAGTGCATGATAATTTTTATTTTATTTAAATTCAGTTAATTAACATACAGTGTATTAATTTCAGAGCTAGAGTTCAGTGATTCATCAGTTGCATATAACACCGGTGCTCATTACATCACATGCCCTTCTTAATGCCTGTTACCCAGTTACCCCGCCTGCCCCCCCCCCGCAACACCCAGTTTGTTTCCTAGACTTAAGAGTCTCTTAGGGTCTCTCTCTGATTTCGTCTTATTTTCCCCCTCCCTTCCCCTATGCTCCTCTTGTTTTGTTTCTTAAATTCCACAGGAGTGAGATCATATAATTGTCTTTCTCTGATTGATTTATTTCGCTTAGCATAATACCTCATTATTTTTATTATTTTTTTAAGATTTTATTTATTTGACAGAGACACAGCGAGAGAGGGAACACAAGCAGGGGGAGTGGACGAGGGAGAAGCAGGCTTCCCGCTGAGCAGGGAGCCCGATGTGGGGCTCGATCCCAGGACCCTGGGATCATGACCTGAGCCCAACGACAGCCACCCAGGTGCCCTTCATCATTATTTTTAAATTGTACTTATGTGCATGTTCTCCCCTTCCCCTCCCTGAGTAAAGGGAGGTTTGCCTGTTTTGTCACTGAGTAAATTTCACCGTTCTGTGGGGGCATTGCTCTTTGATGTTGTCCTGTCCACTGTTGACAACAGTGGTGCTGGGGTCCCATGTAAAGAAGTCAGGCGGGGATCAAGAGATGCTTCTCTGTCCTTGAGCGAGGTCTCCTGCTTCCATCATGTGGAGCTGCCGCGCTTCATCTGGAGGTAAGTGCTTTCCCAGCGCCGCTGGAGTGCTCTGCAGGCAGTGGGGCTGGGCTCCGGATGTGCTGGCCCAGGTCGGGGGTTTCCGTGGCCCCTTGGTGATTCTCAGCAGGGCTAGTTTGGGTTAGGACGGGTGTTTCATGGTATCATTGAGGCATTGCGGCCCTTGGTCCCTGCGTTGCATGAAGAGAGGCATATAACTGCTGTCTTTGGCTTTTACGGTCCCTGCTAATCTTATGAACCTTGGTCCCACACTGGGTTCCCTGGGTGTGGTGGCTTCAAACTATTGCCCCTCTCTGTTTATTTCATATATTTGGGCATTGTATAGAATTTCGGTTTTAAAAAGATTCTTCTGCCATTACAAAAAACAAATGTTTTAAAAACTGCCATGCAATGTGTGTCTGTGTTATCTGTACACACACCACACACACACACACACACACACACACACACACACACTTTTAACAGTAAAACTAACATTTATGCTTG